ATCCCACCCGCTTTTTCCCAGCTTGACTTCCTCCACTGTAGACCTTTTACTCTGATACCTAAACTCAGAAACAGCCTCTCCAAGGAAGGGTCACCATAAACCTGGCAAGCGGGGCTGGATTCCAGTCTGGATAGTCTTCTGTAGTCAGAAGACAATGCCCTGCCTGCCGGAGAGCACCTGGGGAGAACAGGCAGTTAAGTCTCCCTATCCAGAAACAGATGTTTCCAGATCTCCAGGGAAGACAGTGAAAGGCCTTCCGCTGTGAACCCATTTCTCCATCTGCAGTCCTGAGATCGAGGCCCCATACACCAGTGAAGAGGAGCAGGAGCGGCTGCTGGGCCTCTACCAGTACCTGCACAGCCGTGCCCACAATGCCTCTCGCCCCCTCAAGACCATCTACTATACAGGCCCCAATGAGAACCTCCTAGCCTGGGTAAGGTGGTTCTTACCCTAGACCAACTGGCCTCCGTCCGGATTCTGGGTAGACGCCACAAGAGGCCTGCCTGTTCTAGATGATGACCCTTTGCCCCCTCCTCCAGGTGACAGGTGCCTTTGAGCTCTACATGTGCTACAGCCCACTGGGGACCAAGGCATCAGCCGTCAGTGCCATCCATAAGCTCATGCGCTGGATCCGCAAAGAGGAAGACCGTCTCTTCATCCTCACACCCCTCACCTATTGATGGAAGCGGGAAGGCACGCTGGGCCTGGGAAACCACACTGGGCCTGGGAAGCCATGGGAGCCTCCAGGTGAGGCTGGCTTCTCCTTCCCAGCCAGCAGGCAGGAACTGTGGGTTGGTGCGTGCATTAAAGTGCTTTGGGAAAGACACTCTTTGCACTTTGTCGTTGGTTCTTTGTTTTGTTGCGTTTTGAGGCAGGCTCTCTCTGTGTAGCAGCGGCTGTCAGGAACTCACCGTGTGAACCAGGCTGTCCTGGAATTCACAGAGATCCACCTGTCTCTGCCTCCTGAGTACTGGGGTGCCACGGCACCCAGCTCCATTACTGGGTCTGCTACCCATTCACTCTTACGTATAGACAGAAGACCCCTCTTCCTGGCCTTACATATCCCTATACATGGGGCACATGCTCGTCTGAGCCCCTCTCCTCCCGCTCTCTGCCAGCATCAGGCCGCTCACATGTGGAGTCAGATTCCAGTCAGGGCCTGTTTCGGTTCCATTGAAGTCCTGCCACATATGAAGGGTTCATGAGCATCTTTGTTCATGCCCATCTTTTTTTTTTTTTTTTTAACTTTTATTATTAGTTACATTTTATTAACTCTGTATCCTGCTCCCTCATTCACTCTCAATCCCACCCTGCCTCCCTCATCTCCTCCCTGCCCCTTTCCAAGTCCACTGATTGGGGAGGACCTCCTCCCCTTCTATCTGACCCTGCATGCCCATCCTTATTTATGCTAGTGCTAGAGCCAGCCTCTCCTTTTACTCCTTGGTGGGGGCCCCAGAAGCTGCTTCGAAGGACAGTTCCATCACCAGCACTCTGGTTTCGAGACCCTGGTTAGAGGGCTGCTGTAGGAAAGTTCAGGCTGAGCTGAGTAAGACAGATGGGGATGATCTGGCTTGGCTTCTGGGTAGGGATCCTTGGCAGTGTTGGGCATGATCAAAGTCAGTATCCCTACAGCCACAGGCCCCTGGGGACAATGCTTAGGCCCTCCCATAAAGTGCTGCCTGCCTTGGTTCCTGTATCTCCGTCAGCCAGTTCATCAGAGCAGCGCCCCCCCCCCAAAAAAAAAGTGAGCCAAAGGAAGCCCATTTGATCTCTAGAGCCTCTAGGGGTAAATCTGCTTTAATAAGTTCACTAGGAATGCTGCTGTCGTTAGTCACTCTGTTCCTCAGCCTGTCCTACTGTGGACACTCCTAAGAGGCTCAAGAGTAAAGGACTAGTTCCATTCCCTCTGCCATAATACCTCTCTGGGCAACCTAGGGCATAATACAGAAGGCCTCCAGCTTGCTGGGGAGTGGGGCTCCTCTCCTGGTCCTGCTACAACTTAAACATCTCATTGATCTGAGGAGCAAAAGGCCTAACTAAAGAGAAAATTGTACAATGAACGCGGCCTTCTGGCTGTCAGAATCACCTCCATGCAGCCTCTGAGAGCAGAGAGGCCATAATTATTTTTGCCACTGAAACCACACCAGAGGACATGTATACATTAACAGGGGCCGTGTTAAGATGCGCCGTGACTTCCTTGGCAGTGTAACCGCTGTTACTGCTTTCAACCTAGATCTCCTTAGGATTAAGATGGCAGCAGGGCACCTTCCCAGATCCCTAAGACCCTTGGAAGCACCCTGCACACAGGCCCCAGGTCCCTTTCCTACCTATTTTGTGCTTTTTCCCCCCCACTTGCTCCTGACTGGGAAAGTCAGTTCAACCCTTTGGGATCAGGGTGATGCAAAGCTCAACAGTTAGGTGACTCTTAACTGCTTCTGGTAGCCACTCTAGACCTCTGTAGGTCAGCTTCCGTTCTGCCCAGGGACAGGGAGAGAAGGTCACAGGTAAGCCTGTGTGGCTAGGACAGTAGGCCTCTTAAGTGTGGAGTGTGACCGATTTGGAGGTCAAGCCTGAGATGACAGGCAAAGAAAGGAGGTGTTCCTACTAGAGGCACCAACATTTGCAAAGAACCTGATCTAACTGCTGTGCAGTGAAGCCTGCGGAGCTGAGGGATTTTCAGCCTCCAGATAAAAATACAGCGGGCTAGTCACTTAGAGCTGCAGGCCGATGTAGTTAGAGACCCCTGGTTTCACTAACGTGGTTTCTGTGTTGGAGAAGGAGACTAGCTCTAACCTTCTGAAGTGTTCAGAGGGGCCTGAGCCCCTGGAGGGCAAAGTGGCTAGCATTCCTGAGTTGTAAGATGCCAGAGTCATTAACTAAGTCATAAACCAGCAATAGGCCAAACCCAGTGAGTTTACCTTAGAGAAGTGTAGGGCGCATGCCCAGCTTGAAGCTCCTGCAGAACCCACAGATGAAAAGCAACACAGGGGTTCTCCCGTGGACCCCACAGTTGAGAAACAAATGTACCCCAAATGGAGCTTTGTCGGGGGGGGGGGGGCAGTCACCATCATGGCCACGTGGTGGCAGCAGAGAACCAACTACTGGCTGCTCCCACCTCCAAATGGTTTGGGTAAGGCCATCCAAAGGGGCTTCTGAAGTCTACCTTCAGTACCCAGAAATGTCTCCCGGCAGAACAGCAGTCACAAGAGCCCCTGTATGGACACTGTGTGGAGAGGATTTCGGTTTTTCTCTGCATGACCATCTTTAGACATGTTGACCATGGAACACTGGAAGGGTGCCATGGTTTGCGTTATATATTTATTCATTTCTGGGCCAGTTCTACTTAGGAAAAGGAGCACCTTTTATGTTGTCTTGGGCATATTCTCTATCCGCTGGGTGTGGCGACTCCATGGGCCATTTCCCGTCAGTTACCAGGTACTCAAGAACTTCAACCGAGAAGGAGGGACAGTCCTACCCTGGGGATGGAGGAAAGGCATGAATTCACTGTGTTGGGGTGTGTATACCCCAGGTTCTTAGTGGTTCATGATATCCAGCCACCGGCTGGATAGAAAAGGCTTTCTAACACTAGCCTGTGGCAGTTGCATCTCATAGGAAAGATTAGCATGGCCCCTGCGCAAGGAAGACATGCAAATTTGTGGTGGTCCATATTTTTTGATGATTTTAAATGATGCTTTAGAAAGTTTTTTTTTTTTTTTTTCTGTTGTTGCTGTTTTTGTTTTAAAGTTGGGCGTGGTAGTAAAAGCCTTTAATCCCAGCACTTGGGAGGCAGAGGCAGGTGGATCTCTGAGTTCGAGGCCAGCCTGGTCTACAAAGAGTTCAGGTCTACAAAGGTCAGCCAGGGCTGCACAGAAAAAACCCTGTCTCAGAAAACAAAACAAAACAACATGAACAAAAAAGGTGTCCTAGGGTAATACCATCCCAATTACAAAAGGGTGAAAGGGAGAGGAAGCATCCGAGGAGGCTTAGAAAGGGAAAGGCAGGTGGGAGGGCTGTCCAGGGTGGGGAGTAGAAGAGGTAGAGTTTCCCAGGCCAAACTGAATCTCATTAAGCTCCTCCCTCCCCAGCTCCCTTATCCTCAGCCACCCTGGGACTCACCCAGCCCATAGCTGCCTTGTGAAGAGCCCTCTAGACTTAGATCAGGTTCACTGACCTAAGGAACCTGCCCCATCGAGAAAGAGCACTTGCCAAGGGACAGCTACTGAGGCCCAGGTGAGAGAGAAGGCAAAGCAAAATGGGCTGCACCTTGTGGAAAGAGGACTCCTTATCTCAACCAACCAGAATCACATTCTCCATCAGAGACTGAGTCCACAAAACACGGCTCAGAGCAGACCAGAGGTGCCCTGGAAGCCATACCTCCCCCATATCAGGGCACTAGGGGAGACCCATTTACCACCATCACACTGAGGCCACAGTGACAGGATCAAAGCGAGAAGGCCAGGTTTTTATATCCAGCCGGCAGGAGCCAGACTCCATTAACCCTTTATGGCTCTGGGCAGATGGGGCAGGACACAAGATACCTTCCTCTGACACTGCTCAAAATAGGCACACGGGATGATGGTCCCTGACCAAGGAAGGTATGTCCCATGGTAATCCTTTCTGGAGGCCCACGAGTCACTCTGTCTTGTGCATTCTTGTCTCTGTTCCCCACATGGTGAGAACTGGTGTCTGAGGGCCGTGGGGAGAGGGGAGCCAGATTGTTCTGCACCATTCTCACCTCAACCAGGTGAGTTGTAGGGGAATAGGATGATTCAGGAATAAATGCTCCGTCCCAGGCCACTCCACTCACACCCACCCACAGACCTCTGAGAAACACACATCCAAGAGAGGATATGGGAGACAAACTTTTTCTCAGGGCTAGAAAGAGTCAGACAGAGCTGGAAAGAGAGCAAGGGCCTTCAACAGGGCTCCGCCCCTAACCCCGCCCTTAGCCCGGCCGCACCCAGGGGGCCCAGAGTCCTTCGACTTTGAGCCCAGCAGCTGTGGCGGAGGCAGCTAGAAGCAGCAGCCCGGGCCCCAGGTGAGGTGGTCCTGCCCTTGCCCTGCCTGCGGGTTACACAGCCAGGTGCTCCACCACAGGGCTGGGAGGAAAGATTGGGTTTGCCAGCCGCCCAGGGGCTTTCAGTACCGCTGCTTAACGCCCCGTTTCAGCACCTACCAGAGTCTGGTTGGGTGAAGTCCTGAATCTTTTGGAATTCCAGAGGTTGCCCAGCTCAGTCTCAATGGGGCTGCTCCTGCCGCTGCTACAGTCCATTCTACTGCTAATGATTCTTTTGTGGCTGCCGCCGACATCCACCAACCTGGCCTGGCAGTGCCCACGAACACCCTTCGCAGCATCCAGAGACTTCACTGTGAAGTATGAGGTCCCCAGCTTCTCCGCAGGGGGCCGGATACAGGCCACGGCAGCGTACGAGGACAGTGAAGAGGGGGGTGCGGTGTTTGTGGCCACACGCAATCGCCTGCACGTGCTTGGGCCTGACCTGCAGTACATAGAGAGCCTGACCACTGGGCCTGTCGGGGACCCTGGCTGCCAGACTTGTGCGAGCTGTGGTCCAGGCCCTCACGGACCACCAAACGACACAGACACTGTAGTGCTGGTGATGGAGCCGGGTTTGCCAGCCCTGGTCAGCTGTGGCTCAACCCTGCAGGGCCGATGCTTCCTGCATGAACTGGAGCCTCGGGGGAAAGCCCTGCACTTAGCAGCACCAGCCTGCCTCTTCTCAGCAAGCAACAACCGACCTGAGGCCTGCCCGGACTGTGTGGCTAGCCCCCTGGGCACTCGTGTGACCGTGGTTGAACAGGGCCATGCCTCCTACTTCTATGTGGCATCTTCCCTGGACCCGGAGTTGGCCGCTAGGTTTAGCCCACGCTCAGTGTCCGTCCGTCGCCTAAAGGCCGATGCTTCCGGATTCCAACCAGGTTTTCCTTCACTGTCTGTGCTGCCCAAATATCTGGCCTCCTACCTTATCAAATACGTGCACAGCTTCCGTTCAGGAGACTTTGTCTACTTTCTGACCGTGCAACCTGTCAGTGTGACAAGCCCTCCCGGTGCCTTGCAAACGCGTCTGGCCCGGCTCAGTGCTATAGAACCAGAGATCGGCGGCTACCGGGAGCTGGTCTTGGACTGTCATTTTGCACCTAAACGCCGCCGGCGGCGGCGTGGAACTGTCCAGGAGAGCACACACTCCTACCCGGTGCTTCAGGCAGCCCACTCTGCTCCAGTGGATGCCAAACTGGCTGTGGAGCTGAGCATCTCAGAGGGCCAGGAAGTGCTGTTTGGGGTCTTTGTGGCTGTCAAGGATGGTAGCTCTGGCACGGGTCCCAACTCTGTTGTCTGTGCCTTCCCCATTTACCAGCTGAACACCCTGATTGAAAAGGGTGTGGAATTCTGTTGTGACTCTTCAAGTTCTCCTCCTGTCTCGAGAGGCCTTGACTTCTTCCAGACACCCAGTTTTTGTCCTAATCCGGTGAGCAGAAAGATCGGGCCCCTGACCTGTGAGTACCTTGAGGAGCTAAATACAGGCCGTTTCCTTGCTGTCTCTGAGTGGGTGGGAGAAGGCAGGCAGAAAAAGACATCCAGCATGAGGCTGACGTCTATTGCTGCCTCATTTTGCTGTCACCCTTCCTGCCATCCGATTTTTTTTTTTAAAGGTAGTTTCTCTGGTTGTGTGAAAGAGGGGCTTACATCATAGCTACCTCTACCAGCAACAACTTGCAAACTCCAGGTCAAACGATAGGCATCTCCTCCGACCAACCCCCCCCCCCCCCCACCTCTACCCTCAGGGACACAGAGCAAAATATATACAAAAGCAAAAACACATGGGTGGATGGCTCACAAGCACAGATTCACAACTGCTTGCCAACATAGTTTCACTTCCCTGTGAAGGTACTGTTTTGCTCTGCTTTCCAAAGACAGGGCAGGGTTGCCAGAGAACCCCCATCCCCGCCCCATCAGGTTCCAGCGAGTTCTGGAAGTTGGGGGGCTTGTTAGGGAGCATGCGTGATTCACTAAACCGTTCTCCAAAGGGTCCTTACAGGAAAATCTGGGACACAGTGGGAAGCCTCACCCCAGCCTTGTGTAAGCAATGATAAGTCTCTGAGGATGAGTAAAGGCGGAGGAGGGCCTGGTTGAAATTGGCCCACCCTGAGCTTTCTGTCACTGTAGCCAAGCCCTGCCCCAGACAGGAGGCCTCAGATCTGGTTGTATCATGTCAGGGAGGAAAAACAGAACAGAAGAAACAAACATTCCATTTTGTTTCCACAGGATGTCTTTAAAATGCTACCTTGAGGGGCTAGGGGTTTAACTTAGCGCTTAGGGGACTTGAGGCTTGGGTTTGAGGGCCAAACAAAACAAACAAAAAACCAGAAATGCTACCTTGAGGACAAAATGAAAACTTACTCCTTGAAGACTACTGAGAGATTAGGGGGAGAAGGTTGACTGGAGCATTGAATTAATGGCCTTCTATCAATCTAGCCCACAGTCACATCCCTGGAAGCTCTGGCCACCCAGTGCCCTTGGCTCTGTTTGCCCCTCCCCCTACTCCTTTTGGCCATACTAGGAATTGGGGGTTGAACCCCGGGGCTCCTCACGTGCTAGCTAAATGCTCTACCACTGAGCTATATCCCCAGGCCCCTCCTCTCCCTTTATAATTTTTATAATTATAAAATCTCCCTTTTTAATTTTGGAAAAGAATCTCACTGAAGTTGCCCGGGCTGGCTTTGAGCTCATTCTCTAAGCCCAATCAGTTCTTGAACTTGTAATCCTCCTGCTTCAGCGCCTGGCAGTGGCTGTGATACTCTTGACTGATTCATCTTCAGGTTCTTTGAATGCCCCAGAGGTGTAGAATTCACACCCCAGTGCCAGAGGAAGAGGTCACTTTTCTTTAGGACTTGAACCAAATCCAGGGCCTCATGTGTGCTAAGCCTCTACCATGGGTTACATCATCAGTCTTTGTTTATTTGGTTGTTTTCTTTATTTCTTTCTTTTCAACATGATTTGCCATGTAGCCAAAGCTGGCCTTGAATACATTGTGTAGCTCAGGCTGGCCTTGAATTCAAGATTTTCCTGTTTTCCTCTCTCAAATGCTTGTATTGCAAGCATTCACCACCAGGCCTGGTGCAAATTTCTTTCTTTCCTTCTTTCTTTTTATTGTGAGAGATTGAACTCAGGGCCTTGAACACATTAGGCAAGTGTTCTGCTGCTGAGCAACATCCTTAGCCTGGGAATGGGGGGTCTTTAGCCTCTCTCCCTTGGCCAAGTACATCTAGGTTGGGAAACCCTGGCAGTAAGAACTTTCTGTCTGAACCTAGGTGGGAAATCAGAACCTCTCCCAACTTAACTAGTGGTTAGTGGGCCACGGCTGCCTAGTGCCAGGCACCAGGAGAACTAATCTTGGGCCCTGCTTATCGGCTCTAAGTATGGCAGTATGCCAGGCTCTGAAGATATGCAAATCTGTGTTTGTCCAATGAGATTAAGTATGCCACTGCTCCAGTACCGGCCACTGTGTACTCAGAATGGTTGATCTAAAGACTAGCGCCCGCCTACACCAGATCAGGTCGGGAGTGGAATATCTCTGGGGAATGGCACACTTAAGGCAAGCATTTTCTGGGCTGAGGATCTTGGTCAATCCTAGGATTCAAATCTAAGACCCTAGGACTTGGAGGCAAGCAAACCCGAGTGTGTCCTTACCTGAGTTAGTGCCTCTTTTTAGCACCAGAGCCCCACCTGTGCCTGAGTCATGGGGAAAACACCTGGCAAGCTTCCGGCTAGGGCCAGGCCCCTTCCTTCTCAAGTGATGACAAAGTACCAGTCCCCACCCAAGCAGGATATAGACCCAATTCAGGCGGGGTGTCTAGACTTGCCCTTCCTCCTCCCCCTCCCTGGTCCTGCTTATCACTGAGGTCCAGGAATGGGTTAAATCTGTGTGAACTAAAGGGACTCTGTGAACACATAGGGCTCTCTCGTGGCCCTTCCTGCTCCTCTAACCCAGCCCCAGTGTCTTAAATACAGACATTGGCTTCCTACTTTCCAAGGACCATTCACAATCCTGTCCTAAGAATTTACAGTCCCCAACACCTCCCGGCTAGGAGCAGGGGAGAGGTTTTTGATTCTTTTTTTTTTTTTTTTTCTGTACCTGAGGGAGGTTTAGGTAACTGGAGAACCTATGGAGGTGCCAACCTTGGGAAGCCGCTCTGCCTCAGAATACAGTCCCCTATACAAGTCAGGAAGCTGAAGCCCAGAAGGGACTTTTTTGCCAAGATGCACGCACAGGGGCAGGGTGGAGCCAGCAGGGGGCGTGAGAGTTCTCTGCATCTTGAGAGGCTTCGGGGCCTTGGATAAATGAATGGCTATGAGGATGGGCTGGTCTCCAGAATGGACAAAGCAGGGTAAGGCAGGGAGTATGGGATCTGGCTTTATAGACTGGGTCCCCTTTCTTTCCTGCCCTTGCTATGAGCATGGTGTTTGTAGAAAAGGGGCAGGCTCTGGGCTCCTCTAGTCGAGCAAGGGGAAGGATGGCAGTTTGGGGTTGCTGTAATTACTGACAAAACCTTCAAAGAATCAGTGCGCAGGCCTGAACCCCGACCCTTTCTCTTCCTCGCCTCTCCCCAGCCTGGCATAGAGGCCTCCGGCCCCAGCTTCCAGTGCCACTACTATCCTTTGCGTGTCACCGGTACGTTCCCGCGTGTGGACCTATTCAATGGACTGTTAGGATCAGTGAAGGTCACTGCACTGCATGTGACACGCCTTGGCAATGTTACGGTGGCCCACATGGGCACTGCAGATGGGCGTATTCTCCAGGTAGGTCCTTTACCCCATAATCACCTGGTTCTGCACTCCTGCCCCCTGCCCCTGCTATTTTTCTCACAGCTGACCTGTCACAGGTGGAGATAGCCAGGTCACTCAACTACTTGCTGTATGTATCCAACTTCTCCCTGGGCAGCAGTGGGCAGCCTGTCCAGCGGGGCATCAGCCGCCTTGGGAATGACCTACTTTTTGCCTCTGGGGACCAGGTAAGGTGTGCAGGGGCAGCACTTAGGGTTCAGGGTTAGTGGGAGCCCTGAGAGGCGTTGTTACGAAGACCTTACCTAATATACAAAGGGATCAGAAGGGCCAGCGGGGCCCAGGTCCCACCTTTAGCCATCCCCGAGCCGCCTATTTGTCACTCCAAGGTCTTCAAGGTACCTATCCAGGGCCCTGGCTGCTGTCATTTCCTAACCTGTTGGCGTTGCCTGAGAGCACAGCGCTTCATGGGATGTGGCTGGTGTGGGGACAGGTGTGGCCGGCAGAAGGAGTGTCCTGACTCCTGGCAACAGGACCACTGTCCACCTGAGATCACTGAGGTACAGCTTCCCCAGCTGGGCACAGCTAACAGTGGGACAAGCAGGGCCAGGGTGGAGGGTTCAAAAGTCCTGATCATTTTCCTCAGGCCCAAAATGCCCACAATTGAAGGTATTCTTGTTAGATGGGGTGGGGGGAGTGGGGAGGTGGGAAGGTGGGGAATAGGGGGATGAGAGGGTGGCACATGGAAAACATGGATGTAGGAAAAAGTCTGAAGAGGACTAGCAAGTGGCCCGGAATGGCTGGAATGTGAGATAGGCAAGGGAATCTTGGGGAAGCAGGTAGGGCTGAGCGAGTCTAATCCCACACAAAAACTTGGGCTGATCTCTCCACTTCAGTTCTATCCTAACAGTGGGCCACTAAGGGGCAGAACAAGACTTACCCTGTGCGGCTCCAACTTCTACCTGAGGCCTGAGGTTGTGGTATCTGAGAGAACACACCAGATCACCGTGGGCCAAAGTCCCTGCCGACTGCTGCCTAAGGACTCTGCAAGCCATAGGTATAACTTGGTCCCTGCCTTCCTTATGATGAGCGTGACCAAGCAGCCCCTCATGTGTGAGATTCTGTTCTGTGAAGGGTACAGGACAAACTATATTGGCCCTGGCGTCTTAATAACATTTTTTCCTTTTGTTTTTTTTTTCTTATAGATTTATTTATTATTTATACAGTTTTCTGTACTGCATAGGAGAACACAAGATCTCATTATAGATGGTTGTGAGCCACCATGCAGTTGCTGGGCATTGAACTTAGGACCTCTGGAAGAGCAGACAGTGCTCTTAACCTCTGAGCCATCTCTCCAGCCCTGCCCTGGCTTCTTGTGTCTGAGATATCTCTGTCCCTTTTTTTTCCTTTTAGATTTATTCATTTTTATTTGTGTTGATGTTCTGCCTGCATGTCTGTGCCAGATCCTCTGGAAATGGAGCTAGAGAAAGTTGTGAGCTGCCGTGTGGGTGCTGAGGATTGAACTTAGGTCCTTTGGAAGAGCAGCCAGTGCTCTTAAGCACTGAGCCATCTCTCCAGCCCTCTCTGTCCCTTTTTGAGCCTGCATGTGCCCTCCTTGTCTAGCTTTGGACTGCACAAGGTTAGTCCCTCCACTCAATCCTGTATGCCTTCAAAAAAAAAAAAAAAAAAAGGCATGGGTAGAGGTGCTACTCTGAGGTTCAGAGAAGCCCCGTGACTTAAGCCAGGCATGCAGTCAGCCCTATGTGATGCCTGACTGACCTCACGGTGCCCTTCCTGGTGTCCCAGGACAGTGTTCCACAAGGAATTTGTAGAGGAACTCGAATGTGAGCTGGAGCCTCTGATCAGCCAGGCAGCGGGGACTACGAACGTCAGCCTCCTCATCACTAACATGGCGGCAGGCAAGCACTTCCGAGTGGAGGGCATCTCGGTGCGGGAAGGCTTCTCTTTCATGGTGAGGCCACATTGCCTAGTCTCCGCCCTTGGTCAGTGGGTGGCACAAGAGCAATGGACTTGGAATGAAAGGTTTGTTTCAGCAGAGCCATTTTCAAATCTTTTAGGAGCCAGTGCTGACATCAGTAAAACCCGACTTTGGCCCACGGGCTGGTGGCACTTACCTCACCCTTGAAGGTCAGAGCCTGTCTGTAGGCACCAACAGAGTCGTGCTGGTCAATGGAACTCAGTGCCAGCTGGAACAGTAAGTGTCATCAGGTAAAATCGTGGGAGGCCACAGGATCCTACCCTTGTGAGGCTCCAAGTGCTCTCTGCATCCTGAGTTGGCCTGGTATTTGAGGGAACCCATCAGGTTCTTCCCAGCTGCTGCCTAAGGTCACCTCGAGTCTGAGGTTCAGCATAGTCCCCGCCTTTCCTATCCCCGACGGGGACAACCAAGCAGCCCTTCCTTTTGAGACCCTTCCCTGTTCCCACCCAAGGAGTCTCACCCGCTGGGTACCTAGTTACTGCCAGGGTGGAGAGAAGAGGCAGCGTAGAGACCAGTTCCAAGGAGGATCTGCTGTCTCCTCCCAGAGACGAGAGAGCCCACCACAGAGGCCACTGTCTCCAGCCAAGGGTACAGGAACTTGTTCCTTCCATGCCTTCTGGAAAGTCTGACTGGGGCCATTCTATCTCCAGACCCAAGGAGCATAGATGGGTGGGAAAGACAGCAGAGGAACTAGATGGGATTAGTGAGCCCTGGAGGAAGTCAACATGCTCATCATAAGGTGTGCCAAATCCCTCCTTCCTGCAGGGTCAGTGAGGAGCAGATTGTATGTGTCACACCTCCTGGAGCCGGCCCAGCCAGGGTCCCCCTTCATCTGCAGATAGGGGGTGCTGAGGTGCCAGGCTCCTGGGCCTTCCATTACAAGGAAGACCCTGTTGTGCTGGACATCAGTCCCAACTGTGGCTACAGGTAAGTGCCATCTCCTTGACTGCTTTGGCCTCCAAGAAGGGAGAGAGGCGGCTCCCTAACCCACCACCCTACCCTTCTCCACAGTGGCTCCCATGTCACGATCCACGGCCAACATCTGACTTCAGCATGGCACCTAACACTGTTATTCCATGATGGACATAATACAGTGGAGAACAGGGTAAGCAGAGAGGGTGGTGGCCAGGAGGGAGGAAGGCTGGACCAGCCCTTGACGTCCAGCTTCACCTCCCATCGGGCTGAGGAGACGGGAGCAGTCAAGGGTTGGCCATTTGCCTAACTACTTTCACATGGGTCTCAGCAGTGTGCAGGGCAGTTTCTGGAACAGCAGCGTCAGTGCCGCCTGCCTGAATATGTGGTCCGAAACCCTCAGGGGTGGGCACCAGGGAATCTAAGCGTCTGGGGGGATGGAGCAGCTGGCTTCACGCTGCCTGGTTTTCGCTTCCTGCCCCCACCCAGTCCACCCAGAGCTGGCCTGCCCCCGCTGAAGCCTGAAGAGCATTCAGTTAAGGTTGAGGTAGGTATGAAGGAAGGGGGAGGCCGGGGGAGAGGCGGAGTCCGGCCCCTGGCTGATCAGTAGGACTGTCTCCGCAGTATATTGGGCTGGGCGCCGTAGCAGACTGCGTGACTGTGAACGTGACCGTGGGTGGTGAGAGCTGCCAACACGAGCTCCGAGGGGATGTGGTGGTCTGCCCCCTGCCTCCCTCCCTGCAACTTGGCAAGGATGGTGTCCCGCTGCAGGTAGGTGACACGCTGGCCCTCTCGGGAAAGCATGAGCTGAGGGTCTGCCATCCCCGGCCTACACTGCCTTCTGCTTTCAGGTCTGCGTAGGTGGTGGGTGTCACATCCTGGGCCAAGTGGTTCAGTCGGGCCCAGGCAGGACCTCACAGTACACACTCCTTGTTGCTCTTTTGGCACTGATCCTGCTCGTGGCTGCACTGGCCATTGCGCTGATCTTCAACTCCAGGAGACGGAAAAAGCAGCTAGGTGAGCTCTCTCCATTCGTCTAGACCCAGCCTTCCATAGACTCCCCCAAACAGGAGCGTCATCAATCCCCAGAAGTCCTCACTGGGACTTGGTGACCAAGAGCTTGGAGAGGCTCACCACCATGTGCTCTCTCCACAGTCCTTGCTCCCAACCCGGATGACCTGGCATCCCTGGATCAGTCTCCCAGAGCCATGTCCCTGTCCATATTCCGTTCCGGCTCTGACTACAGAAGTGGTCTTGGTGAGACTAGGGGAGGCACTAGAAGCCAGGGCTTGCCCCTCCCCACAAGCTTTCACTCCCTCTCCCCAATAACACTCTCTGATGTTGATGGTCCAGCTTCCAGCACTCCGAGCCATGGAGAACCTTCAGATGGTAGGGATGGGACCTGTGTCCCGCTGCTGCGCACAGAGTCTATCCGGCTCAAGGATCTGAACAGGATGCTCCTGGCCGAGGTTAAGGATGTGCTGATTCCCCACGAGCGAGTAGTCATCCACAGTGACCAAGTCATCGGCAAAGGTATGGGGGCTAGATCAGGAGGTGGGGTGGGGGCAGAGGAGTCTTGACATTGACATGTGCTTTCAAGAGACAACTGGAATACACACTGCACTGGCCTACTCGCTGTGTGACCTTGAGGCCTCCATGGTCATCTTTGCAATAAGGTTTTGGAGAATTTGCTCCTCGGTGGCTTCTGGTGTAGATAAGAGGTCACAGGAGAACTGTAAATGGCTCCACCATTGTGTGGCTGCTGCTTGCTTTTAATGTCACGCTGGCCAGTCTGGGGCTCTGAGGTTGCTAGTTATAGAAGGCATGCTGTGAATCTGGGCACCGCGGTCCCTCTTTACCACCTCACTCTTTCTAGGTCACTTTGGTGTCGTCTACCATGGAGAATATACAGACGAGGCCCAGAACCAAATCCACTGTGCCATCAAGTCACTGAGTCGTAAGTGAGGAATAGGCAGTGTGGGTAGAAGGGCGACCTCAGGCTGAGAAGCCCTTTGTCCCTGCTATGCCGCCACTTTATTAAGCGAACCTAGAGAGAAGGCTTTCCCCCCATTGTCTCCATCTGACCCTTGTAAAGGACCTTCTTGCTCCTGGCCTGACCTATGCTAATCTCTAGGCATCACAGAGGTGCAGGAGGTGGAGGCTTTCCTGCGGGAGGGGCTGCTCATGCGTGGCCTACATCACCCAAACGTTCTGGCTCTCATCGGTATCGTGGTACCCCCAGAGGGGCTTCCCAGAGTGCTGCTGCCCTACATGCGCCACGGAGACCTGCTTCGCTTCATCCGCTCTCCTGAGAGGGTCAGTGGTCAGCGTCCTGGGGGGGTCGTCAGCCGGCACCCACTCCTGCCTGTACTCACTAGTCTCCTTGTGCCCCCAGAACCCCACTGTGAAGGACCTCATCAGCTTTGGCCTGCAGGTAGCCTGTGGCATGGAGTACCTGGCTGAGCAGAAGTTTGTGCACAGAGACCTGGCTGCTAGGAACTGCATGTGAGTGGCTGGGGTGAAACAAAGGGTCAGGTTATGAGGATATGGAGCTGCTAAAGGCCACCTCAGGAGAGGACGCAGTCCAGCCTTTGCTCTGCTGCCCTCTGCGGCACTGTCTGCCCGCCCAGGGGTTCTTAAGGCCTTTGAAGGGCTTGGAGCAGGTGGGCACAAGCTCAGGTGGGAGTCAGTTCTTAGGTGACTGCTCTACCACTGAGCTATAGCCCCAGCTGGGCCTCAGTTCCACCCGTGGCTGCCTCTCCTCAGGCTGGACGAGTCATTCACAGTCAAGGTGGCTGACTTTGGTCTGGCCCGTGACATCCTCGACAAGGAATACTACAGTGTTCGTCAGCAACGCCATGCTCGCCTGCCTGTCAAGTGGATGGCACTGGAGAGCCTTCAGACCTACAGATTCACCACCAAGTCTGATGTGGTAAGGAACCCTTTGCTCAAGGTCCGATTGACCTGCACGCCTCCTCTGCCTTGCTTCTTCGTGAGCTGAGCGCAGAGACCTCCCAGGTTAGGCAACTCCCACACCTCAGTTTTTCTTGGGCAAATGTGAAGTGGAATCTGGTGCCTGGCAGGGCAAAAGAAACTGGGGAATTCATTGGTTCTGTATGAACATTTCAGGGCTTGCAACTCTGAAGCTGTGGGAGACAGAGGAATGAGCTCTAAAAGCAGAGGTGAAGGGTCCCACATTTCCAGTAAAGGACTCTGAGAGACAGAGGACCTGGGGGACCCACCTGCCCCAAACTTGGGGTGATAGTTGAATCAGTCTCCTCATTTTTCTCCAACAGTGGTCGTTTGGTGTGCTGCTGTGGGAACTGCTAACACGGGGTGCCCCACCATACCCCCATGTCAACCCTTTCGACCTCACTCACTTCCTGGCTCAGGGCCGTCGCCTGCCTCAGCCTGAGTACTGTCCCAATTCATTGTAAGTGTGGAAAGGGGAGCATGGGGGGCAGGGCTGGGCTCTAGAGGTGAAGAGGGGGCCGCAGATGGAAGCCCCTGCCTGTTTTTTTGTTTGACCCTTTGCTCGGCCAGGAAGGGGAGCCTCTCTGGGACTCAGTTTCCTTACCCGTGGACTGGTCCCACCCTCATGCAAAGATCAACTCTAAGAGGCCCTCACAGTTGCCATGGTAACAGCATTCCAACTCAGAGTCTGGGTTGAGGCCAGTGGTTTGGTTTCCCAGATCTCTTTCCCCACCGCACTCCTGCAAAGGGAGAGGGGCTGTTTTCCATCTCTGCCACTCACCTAACCTCAAAGAAGGGTTCAGTTAGCTCCCACACCAGCCCTGCTGCATCGTTCCATCGGGGCTTTTTCACTGCCATTCAGATTCCTCATTCCCAAGGGATGGTGGCAGCTGTGTCATCAGTGCCCGTGGGGTAGGTTTGGCTCCCTAATCAGCAGGCATACCTCAGCTACACTCAGGTCTGCGTGCTTAGAACAGGGAGAACCAGGTCACAGGTGGAGCCGCTGATGACTTCTATCCCAGGCTGTGCTCCAGAAAGGGTATATGAGTAACTCTTTCTTACAGCTCCCCCAATCCTTGGCCTTGACCTTTCTATTAGGCTTTACTAACGAGTACAGTCTGAAGTGGGAATTAACTTCACTGCCCGCCTGCATCTAAGACAGGCTCTCTGAACAGATTAGGGCAGGGATTTCTACGTGGGGGGCTTCAGTGATAAGTTTAGGGGGGAGAAAGAAACAGGGCCTGTTGGAGGGAGAGGGGTAGACCTTATCCTACAGGACTGGTGGGGGCGGGGCTGGCCCTTCAGAGTTTTCTGAAATTGAGACCAAGGGGTCAGGTCTCTGTACCAGGCAGGCATTTATCAGTCAGTGGCCACAGGCTGTCCCCAGTGAGCAGATGTGAGATTGGACGAGATATGTTCCCTTCTGCCTAGAGAAGGCTTAAGCTAAGAACCTTCAACAGGAAACACTGTCGGCCACTGAGGAAATAAAGGGGCTCTGCAGAGAGTACTCATCAGGCGGAGTGCCTTTCCTTGATGGGCTCCATTTGCTCATCTGTAAAGTGGGTATTACAGAAACACTCCCCTCAGAGGGTCTGAGACACGTATGAAGACACTGTGCACAGAACACTTAGATGGAAATTGAAGGCAGGGTGACATGGCAAAGCACACTCTTGGATCCGGCAGGAAAACCTACAGAACCTCAGCTTCAGAACCACTGTGCCACTGGGGTGGCCCCATTCAGGCCCCGTTTAACTTCGACCTTTGTGCTGCTGAGGTATTTTTGTTGTTGTTTTTAAGACAGGGTCTCTGTAGGCCTGGCTAGCCTTGAATGCAGGCTAATTCTCCTGCTTCAGCCTTCTAAACGCTGGGATTGAAGGCATGTTTTACTGCACCTGGTATGTGTTTGTTGGTTTGATTTTGAGACAGGATATCACTATGTAGCTCTGACTATCCTAGAACTCGCTATGTAGACCAAGCTATCCTTAAATCCCTTATGGAGCTAAAGTTGAAATCTTCTTCTACCTCCTAAGTGCTAAAATTGAAGGTGTGTGTCACCATGCCCAACTCTCTTTGCAGGGTTTAACCTTCATTTTGTAGCCTGTCTGGGAAAGGTGTGTGATGAGCCTATTAGCCTGTGAGCCTATTAGCCATGTGCTGAGGGTTTCACAAGTGTTTTTTTACCCTGTGAACTTAAGGCTGTGATTAGAAGAGGCCATCTGTGGGCAGAATAGTTAAGGAACATACCCAAGATCACACGGATAAGGCCCCAGGGCAGAGTCACTGAAAAGGCTTTACTTCGGAGGCAACTGGACCTCTGCCAGACAGCTCAGTGATGAGAAGGACAGGTGCTGTCCTGATGGGGCTCTAGGCCCTGCCATGTGTCTTCATCTCCGTTTTTTCCAACAAGGATCAGGGATCAGGCTGCCCAGAACCCCTGGGGCAGGAGTACACCCTACACCTGACATCTCTCAATTTACAGGTACCGGGTGATGCTGCAATGCTGGGAGGCTGACCCAGCGTCAAGACCCACCTTCAGAGCCCTAGTGATGGAAATAGAGCGGGTCGTGGCCTCACTGCTCGGAGACCACTACGTGCAGCTGTCCGCAGCGTATGTGAACCTAGGCCCCAGCGCCACGGATGATGTGAATATGCTTCCGGAGCAGCCACAGGCTTCACCTCAGCATCACAGGGCCATGTCAAGACCCCGGCCTCTCTCAGAGCCACCTCTGCCCACTTGACCAAAGCCCTAAGTAGGCCACAGGGACTAGACCTACTAAGTGGCCTCAAGCAGGCCCCAAGCTGCCTCTGGGCTATAACAAGCTGAAGGGCACTGGACCTCCACCTTTTAACTTTCTAGGGCTACTGGAGGTGGGAAACAGGGTCCAGTTAAGTCCCTCACTCCAGCATGAGCCAGTGTATTTTTTGTAGCATGTATTTATGGAATGTTTGTTTTGTACCTGTCTGCTGAGCAGAGGACTCAGCAATGATCACAGAGATACCACAGTGTAAGCCATTAAAAAACAATAAATGAATATTCAAGCACACATTATGGTACATGTTGTAAAAGAAAGGATGGACACTGAGGGAATGGAGGATTGCTTTAGAGAGTTGGCTAGAGAGGTGAGGGAAGGTTCCCAGGAGGTGATATTTTGCTGCAGCTTTTATTTTTAAAAATTCATTTTTATTTTATGTGCATTGGTTGTTTTGCCTGCATGTATGTCTATGTGAGGGTGTCAGATCCCCAGGGACTGCAGAGCATAGGAAAGGTGAACATACCCAGATGCAGCTTTAGGGCTTTATGGACTGCTGGATGAATCAGGGGGTTAGGTTGAGCTTCTGAGCATGAAACATCCAAGGTGGTTTCTTCCAAGGCTCAAACTAGCTACTCTACTGCACTCCTCAGCAGGGCTTCTAGGTTCTCTATATAGTCCTCATACATGTGCACATATCGTCATGGTATGTGGACTTGCCTGACCTCCCTTCCCTGCCAGTATGTGTTTGCAACCCTGGGAGAGGATCTCGCAGAGAGGCTTCAGCTAGATACATCTGCAAGGAGCCAATTTTGAAGGGCCAGCTTCCTAGCTTCCTTAGTTATTTATATCCTCAAGGACACTACACCAAAGCTGCTAGAGGGGTCTGTTTCCCTGGAGGAAAGGAAACTCCCACCCCCTACCTCTATCCTTTTCTCTGACTACTGAAGGGGATGAAGCTTTACAGAGCCTGAACCCAGGGCATAAACTTCAATATCAACTGTTTCTTGCTTAAGCCTCCCATGGCCTCCTCCATTCTTCTAGATGGATGGCTTCTAGGTCTCTAAGAGGGGAAGGCTCCCTTCCTGGGAGAACCTTAGAAATGCTCTGTCACAACAGGACCCTGGATTTTGAGCCAGACCTTCTTCCTAAAGCAGAATGGGGTCACCTCGGGACTGCAGCCATCCAGCTGTTTTTTTACTCATATTGCTACCTGTCTTGGTATCTTGGGCCGGAAAGAGATTCTAGGGACCTAAAGGATATTAGGACATGTGTTCAAAATGTAAAAAGAGACATCTTCTGCCGGGAAGTGGGTGTGAATGAGAGAGTCCTGGGAGTGGAAGGCAGCTTGAGCTGTCCGACTGCTTCTGGCACCACCTCGGTGCTTCTCAGCACAGGTACAGACGAGGCCGCAGCCCTGAAGACCTGGCCACTGGCCGCTTGTGTCCTGTCTTCATTGGCATCTCCCTAAGCTTGGAGAGAGGTAATGAAGTTTCCTGAGGCACCTCCAGAGCTGCATCCCCTGTACCAGTTGGGGAGGGGTTTTCATGTCCCCAACTTGTAGACCTTTGTCTCTTAAGTTTATCCCAAAGGGACTGTTCAGAGTTCTAAGCCATGTGAATTTGGGTGACGTGAAGGGCTTATTCCCCACTGGCTTATGTGTTCACGAGAAAGGCTCAGGCAGGGTGACCAAAGAAAAGGAGGACAGAGCATAGAAAAGGGTCCCAAAGAAGGGAGCGAGAGGCAGAGCAAAGAGGGCATCAGCTTTCCTACGGAGCTAGAATGTGGGACTTGGGGGTCTGACTGTCACTTGGTAAAGTTTTAAGCGAGCATAGGTCCTGCTGACATTCCCTGTTAAGCCAGAAACCCCCTTCTTTGAAGGGTAAAATAAAATCTTTGAGCAGTTACCCCACAAACATGAGCTTTCTGGGCCAAAGGCCTCCAGACTCAGAATCATCCAGGAAGGAGCTCCAGTTAAGAAGTACTTGAGGAACTGGGTTGTGTCCCCACCACATTCAGCAGCTCCTAAGCTCTCAGCTCCATTTTTAGGCATCCAAGAGTTCCAAGTCCATCTAGGGCAGTGGTTGTCAACCTTCCTAAGGCCACAACCCTTTAAAACACTTCCTCATGTTGCGGTGACCCCCAACCATACAGTTATTTTGTTGTTGCTTCGTAACTCTCATTTTGCTACTGTTATGAAATATCGTAAATATCGGATATGCAGGATCCCTGATATGTGACCCCCACAGGGGTGGTGACCCACAGGTTGAGAAGCCCTGATCTAGTGTGTTGGGAGTTGGAACTGTCGGGATTTTAAATTGGTGACTGGGCTACCAATCACCTACACAGAGAGGATCAGTTCTAAGTTCCTAGGGAGGTTAGACATAGTTTCTCTCTCTCTCTCTCTGGTTTTTCCAGATGGAGTTTCTCTGTGTAGCCTTGGCTATCCTGGAACTCATTCTGAGACCAGGCTGGTCTCAAACTCACAGAGATCTGCTTGGCTCTACTACCTACTGAATGGACTGTTGGGATGGAAGGCTTGGGCCACCACACCTGGCATTTGGAAGTTTCTTTCTTTTTTCTTTGTTTCTTTCTTTCTTTCTTTTTTTTTTTTTTTTTTTTTTTTTTTTTTTTTTTTTTTTTGAGACAGGGCTCTCTATGTAGCCTTGGCTGTCCTGGAACCACTTTTAGACTAGGCTTGCCTCAAAACTTGGAGATTTCTTAATGGCCTTTTAAGAAAACTATTTTTACTTTAGGGTGTTTTGCCTGCATGTATGTGAGGGGGTCAGATCTTGGAATTACAGACAGTTGTGAGCTGCCATGTGGGTGCTGGGAATTGAACCTGGGTCCTCTGGACGAACAGTCAATGCTCTTAACCTCTGAGACAATTCTCTAGACCTTCTTAATGGCCTTTTGGGCTGCCAGACGATGGACTACCTCTCTCCTAGTGTGTGTGTGGGGAGCAGGGAGTTGGGTGAGGGAAGTGGTGGCAGGGATATTGCTCATGTGCAGTGACTGGCTAACGGAAAGGAGAAGTCCTTAAGGCCTTGCTAGGCCTAGGCCTTGGGAGGTGGAGGCAAGAGGATCAAGAGCTCAAGGGTAACCTTAGCTACATAACAAGCCCAAGACCAGCTTGGACTACATGTGACCCTGTTACAAACAAACAAAAACATCAGCTCTCTGTCTTATCTCCTTCTAGGACAACACAGTGGGGCTAAGGGGCAAAGCAAATGCCAATAGATTACAGGAGGCCATGGTGGGAGCTGGCGTTGAGGGAGCAGCCGATGACTCACAGCCTCCTGACTGCCCACTGGTGTCACTGTCTCGCACCTGGAAGGCATGCAATGAGCACACTGACCTGTTTTGACGGGGAACCATAAGTCTGGCCCGAGATCCCCAATATGCTTTGTCTCCCCCTTACTCCATTGGACCTCAGGGGACCTGGCCTGTGGCGATTCCTATTTTGAGTTCCTTTGGTAGGAACTGATGGAAGTTACTAACTCATTAAAGGGGTTCAGCATGGGCACTGTCAGAGGGACCAGTGAGTACCAGCGTTCTCCCTCACCTCTCCCCTGTGCTTCCTTTCAGTTGGCCTCGCCCTTGTACATGCTGGTGGCCAGTTGTGGTGCTATGAGTTTCTCCAGGGATGTTGCTGTGCCTTGGAGAATTAGAGGCCCCAAAGGAGTTGGCTCCATCCCTGCGGCTCTATGGCACGCACTAATAGGCTTCGCTTGCTTGTTCTGTCAAGTCAAGAAGCTCCTTTCCCAAAGGGGGAAATGAATACCCTGGGCAGTTCCAGTCTCCCTGCCAAGTGAATGGGTACTCTGGGCTCTTTATCTCACCATTTGCTCTCCATAGGCTTTGTTTCTTATGGGATCCCTGAAGGAGAGGCTCTCTTCACATCCCCTGGGCAGACATGGTTGAAGATATATGCAACGTAAGCATGAAGCCATGTGCTACTCTGGCTTTTGGAGGGGGGGTCTGCCCCCGGTGAGAGGCAAGGGGCAGCCAGCTGTGAGCAGCAGTTAGGGTGGCTGTGCCATTTCCCTCCCTCTGGGCTGGTGAGGCTGGCTATCTTTCACACAGAGTTACGTAAGCTTGAGTCAATTGGGGCTCAGAGCGGTTCATCGTGGGCTATTTTTAAGCTGCAACACATCACAGCAGAGGGGTCACTGCACCAGCGGCTTGCAGGGAAGGTTGTTTAAACATCTGTTATTTAAATTTCTCTGTGCTTAGAGCTCAGAAGCCATATCCTCCCAGCACTAGTGGCTTCTGCCTTCCACATCCAGATTAGGAGTGGATTATCTCACCTCACCCTTTCTGAATTCCCTGGGGCTGGGGTTCTTGTCTCTGACTGTCTTCCTGCGGGGTTGTGCAGGTGGGACAGGGAGCAGGAGGTTGCCAAATCCTTTACAGCGTGGCCTTGTCTCCATGGAAGGGGTGAGCCTTGGTCAGGGCAAACTGCCGGGCAGCCAATGGTCTAGGGCTTTGGGTCCCTTGCATTGTTCTGGAGAGGTGCGAAGGGGACACAGAAGTAGGAAACTGAGGCACCTCTCAGTGTCCCATCAGCATCGAGACAGGGTTGGGTCACGAGAACCTTTAGGGTCTCTTCAGAAGCCTTCCTTTGCCTAGGCTCCCCTCTGCTAGATGGAACGCCCTCCCTCCCGCTGCAGCTCTAATACTACGAATCTGCAGCCTCGGGAGCGCATAAGCTGATGTACAAGGCCCAGAGACAAAGCTCCCGGGAGATAAGCCTCACTTTCTGATCCCCTGTTAAGTGTATGACCACACGGGGAGGCGGCTGAAGACGCCTTCTGATCTGAAGGTTTTCGAGATGTCTAGAGCATTCCCAGGGCACAGCGTGCTGAAGGCAGGTATACTGGAAAGAGTGCAGAAACGGGGGTTTCACAGAGCTAGCTGCCTCCTAAGAGTACAAGGGAGCCCAAAATAGGGTCTGTGTTGGACAAGTGGACCAGGCTGACCTAGGGGCCATAGAACTCCTGGTAGAGCATAACCTCCCCTCTTCCCTTGGCGCCCTTTCTGTCACTTGTCCACATTCCCTAGGGCCTATTAGGTGACAGGCTTCAGCTTGATCTCCCCGGGGTAGGTGTGGATCTTCTCCACAAGAGCTGGGGTCTTCCACTGTGTCTGTTTGGAAGGTGAGTTAGAGAGTGCGCGGGAAGGCCAAGCAGGGCATTTGCCTTCACAGAGGGGTCACCCTGTGGCCTCACCCTCAAACTGAACTCCTCAGCTCCTCCTTGCCACCCCTTCCGTGACATCCCCCCCT